TTTAACTTCTTTTTTTGAGAGTACAGGAACAACCACTTCAAAGGTATTTAATGCTGACCTTGCATTTGTTTGAAAAAAAGAAAGGGGGAGGGGAGCAGATTTCTGTTAAACTGATGTGAATATACTTTTGTCAATAGATACACACAGATAATCTCACCTTATCACTGACTAGTGAATTTGTATCAAGGATGTTCCTATCATATATGCTTTAGCGTGTCCAGCTTTTATTTGAAAGCCACTGCTAGCCGGCTTAATGCGAGCTGTCCCCTTTTGTTGCCTTTCCCAATTTGCCCTTGCTTTGTGCTGCGCTCTTCTGTTCCCCAAAGGCCCTGCCTGTCCTGTTTGCTGTTTCATTCACCTTTTCTGCAGCTCCTCTTAGATATATTTATTTTAAATCATTGCTGGGATTGTGTTGAGTGATGTTCTGGATCTAGCCTAAATAAGGCTGTAAGTTATACTCTGGTATGAATACATCCACCAAAATGTCTTGTCAGTAGTGAATATGGTAAATAAGACTCTTCAGAAATACTACAAAGAGGCATCTGTTTTCATGATCTTTCCAGCGTCAGTTATTTCTAAGGAGGAAAGGTTATTTTCCAATTGAACCTAAGCAGCTGAAAGTCTTGAGTCCAAACCCTCTTCTTTCTCTCACTTTGTCTTACAGCCAAACCAACCAAACAAATGATCTTGCACATTCAAAACCTGCCATGTGCCCACAGGGGTCGTTGGAGTTTCCTGGTTGGTGGTTGTAGTCTCGTTAGCCCAGGACAAAAATTAAACAAAAGATTAATGCTGCAAAATTTGCTCATCTGTTTACTACTTAGTGTCTATAAATCACTCAACTGTACTGTTGTCCTAGTGCAGGGGTAGGCAACCTATGGCACGCGTGCCGAAGGTGGCACACGAGCTGATTTTCAGTGGCACTCTCACTGCCCGGGTCCTGGCCACCAGTCCGGGGGGCTCTGCATTTTAATTTAATTTTAAATGAAGCTTCTTAAACATTTTAAAAACCTTATTTACTTTACATACAACAATAGTTTAGTTATATATTCTAGACTTATAAAAGAGACCTTCTAAAAACGTTAAAATGTATTACTGGCACACGAAACCTTAAATTAAAATGAATAAATGAAGTCTCGGCACACCACTTCTGAAAGGTTGCCAACCCTTGTCCTAGTGTGTAATCCTGTAGTGTCTGAATGGCCGCTGTCTAGAGAGAGGTATCTTCAAATCTCAACAAGCTACCGACGCTGATTTCTGTTTAAAACAACAGCATGGACAGGCTTGGCAGAATTCGATTTATATATATATTTATATATAATTATATATATATTTTATAATTTTGATGGATATGTTTATTTTTAAGCTTGTTTTTTATATTTATTTACATTTTTCACTGTTGTGTGAAATGGCTTTGAAACATTTCAATTTTATCTGTTAATTTTCACAGTTTCAGGAAATTATGGGGGAGTCAGATATTGGGGGGATCAAATAATTTATTGACAGTAGATATTGAGGTTCAAAAAGTTGACGCTATCTAACGGTTAAAACAGAAATTGTCACCGTCACATGTCAAAATATACAAATAAATATCCGTAAATCAAACTCTAATAAGTTCTCAAGCACTATTTTTCTTACTTTGCCTTTTGATTATCATTGATGGAAATATTTTTTCACTGGTTTGTATGTACAGTGAAATTGATGTTTAGTGACATTTACTGATTAAAAATCGAATCCTTCCATGCAAAGTTATAGAGGTTTGTGACATTCCTACTGAGTCAGACCGTTCTCTGACCATTATATTTGGCTTTCTGCTTCCATCCCATTAGCTAGCTTGGCTTTTGGACTTGCGGTTCTGCTCTTACTTTACTTGGCTCATTTCTGGAAGGGACAGTCTCATTACTTAAACAAGTAAAAGTCTAATTAATCCCACAAATAACTGTTTTTTCTTTGTTTTTGGCTTGTATAGAAGCTTCTTGCTACATAGCGCAATTAACCTGCTTCCTGCAAGGCCACTCTGCTCTTATCCTCAGACCTTGCCTCATTTTTCCTATGGTGTGATATATTTTCCCCTCCCTGCCCTGCCACTTTAAGCATTAGGGCTTTTGCTGTCTCTGCCACATTTGCAAAATTTTCTCTGGACTCTCTTTGGTACAAACTGCATATTCAATTCCCTCATTTGGTCCTACATGTCTTGCTGAATGGTGAATATATGGTAGAAGCAATGCATTGCCTGCATTTTCCACACAGTCCACAATAAATGCTGCAGTGTTTGAACCATGCTTCACTAATCAAACCTGCTCCTCCAGAGCCTCCAACTTGCATCATGGTCACCCTCACAGTGCATTCTGCCCCATTTCCTGGATGCTAACTTCATCTGAATCACAGATGACTAGACTTGTATGTATTCTTGTGAGGGCTCAGAGTCTGGTAACTTGCCAGTATGACACTTTTTTTAAAATATCTTTTTACAGTGATAGAGGGACTAATAATGGAATTGGTTGCAGAGTTGAGGTGTTTGAATGGCACCCTTCACCTTTGATTAGTACTTAGATGTCAGCTGTAGCTTCTACCAAACTATATGTAAATCTTGCAGAAGTACAGCCCCAGAGTGCAGTCTCAGTTGCTTGTTGGCCAGTATTCTGATCTGCTCTGGCAGCTGCTCCTTTGTTTTCTTGTTCCTGAGAAACATTGCAAGTTTATTAATTATTATTATTTATTTACCATAAATTATTATTATTTATTTACCATAAAGCCAAGGAGCCCTAGTCATATACCAGAACTCCATCGTGTTAGGCACTGTACAAACACAGAACAAAAGATGGTCCCTGCCCCCAGAGATCTTACAATCTGTATATAAGATAAGAGACAACAGATGGCTGCCGACAGACAGGGAAGTACAAGGAAAGAATGAGACCGTACTGGTCAGCATGATAGAGAGTAGTCTCAGCACACCAGCAGCTTAGCTGTTGCCAAGTTTTTTGTAGGCATCACATCAAAGGAGAATTTTTTGAGGAAGGATTTGAAGGTGGTGATTGTTTTAGCACAACTGATTTTTTCTTAGTAGTGTTCTTAATTATGTCATCAGAAAAGGATTGGCTTTTCTATCAACTTTAGTTTTTGACTGATAGCTGTCCTTCCAGAGTGTGAAGACAGGGCACCAGGCTTGTTCTGCTCTTAGTGGAGTCTCTTTCACAAGTTGATACTATTCTCAGCAGAGATAATATTTGCCAATTCACTTTTATTGACATTGGGACAGATTCACTGGTATGCTCCGGCTGCTTTGTGCTGCTCCTGTGATGCAAAGCAGCTGTAAACCTGGTTTAACTTAAGCCAGGTTGATGGCTGTTTTGTATCACTGGAACAGCGCAAAGCAGCTGGATCATGCCAGCTGATCTAGCCTTTTGGTGAACCATTATAAATTACTTGTTTTATTCATGATCTCTATACATGACTGTATTTGAAGTCAAAACCTGTAGGAATATTGAGTGGATCATATCCATTAAAGAAAACGTTTATATTCTAAAATAAGCATCTGTGGAATTAGAGGTTTCTTGGGCTAAAGGTTTTCCAAGGTAAAATGAAATGATGCATATTAGCCATATACGTTTGGTTATATGGAACTCCTTTAGATACAATATAATCACTTGCGTCTGATGAAGTGGGCATTCACCCACGAAAGCTTATGTTCCAATACTTCTGTTAGTCTTAAAGGTGCCACAGGACCCTCTGTTGCTTTTTAATATAATTTTTGCTGCCTTACCCTATTGTCAAATATATTAAATGAAATTATTAAATGTTAAAATTTAAAAAGGCTAATTTTTAGATGTCTTTACTATGTTACCAAAGAAGGGCACAGCACTTATTGTAAATACAGTTTTGCTGAAGCGGTGTTTTCTTCCAGTTTACTGAGATAATTTCAGTGGCATGAAATATAAGGGATTTTGATAAACTTGATGTTATTGTGTGTGATTTATTGATTGGACATATTCTGGGGCTTTTGAGGGTATGACTGGATGCAAGATAACAAAATTATTGTTTTCCTTTTATTTAAAATATAATGTATAGTTGAGATCGTTTGTACTTACCTTTGCCTTGCATAAATAGCATTTTACATGTTCAAAGCACTCTACAAATGTTAATCAATATAATATTATTGTATAAATGGTATTTTTACTTCCTTTTTATTAAACTCTACTGTTGTTAAACTCTGAGGTCCTTGTAGCATAATACAACATTCAGCAGTTTGTGGTAATTTTTTTTTAAGAGGGGCTGATAGCCCAATTAGAGTGAATGTAAGAGAGCACAGTCAGCATTATTCCTGTTACTAACTTTGTTTGTTTCATAACTCAGCTTGTTTGTCCTTATGTAGAAAAATTCTCTTATTAAAAAAACGCGGTGATGATTTTTTTCCCTTAAGTCTTTCAGGATAACCACAGTGGAATGTAAGTGTGAAATCAGTCCTCTGATTAGTAGTAGATTGAGGGAAAACATGACAGAACTTGCAAAGTTTGACTGGACTTTGAGATGTAACACCAAAGAATTAATTACTGCTTCATATTAATCAAGATAACAATGCAAAACCCTTCATTAAGAGCACAGGGAAAGTTCTTCCTTGGTCCTTGGAGAGGATATTATATGCAAGCCCTGTGGTGTGGGTTGCAAAGTGTCACTGGAATTTATATGCATTACTTGTCTAATTGCAGTAAATGTAGCATGTCCAGATAGATTTAAAAGTTGGATGGGTGTTCGTTACTTGCTGGAAATCACTTGAAACCTCACTACTCAGAGGCAGCTGTTCACAGGTCCTTCACCTCTCCCCAGAGATGCCTAGAAGACTCTGTTGTTGGACCCTGTCTTTTATGGCAGAAGCAGTAAACATGACAGGTTGTTTGGGAGCCATCTGTTTTAAAATGGTTTCTGCTTGGTATGCAGCAATGAACTTGAGATCAGTGTTCTGTCCGTCTTCATGGTAACAGTCTTGTTTGGTGTCACAACAGGTGGAAGTTGATGGGATGAAACTAAATGTGACCAGTGAGTGGAACCTGGCTTCACCCTTATCGTCTGTCACCATTGATGGCACTCAGAGGACTATACAGGTAAATTCACTGACACATTATTTGTGGAACTCAAATGACTGCACCCCTTCAGATCTAAAAGCGCTATATATCTGTATGGATACTAAATTTGTGCTCTAATACATTTGTTAGTCTCTAAGGTGCCACAAGTACTCCTGTTCTTTTTGCGGATACAGACTAACACGGCTGCTACTCTGAAACAGAAAAATACTATGTTGTTCTAACATAGTCTTTCTCCCTCCATTTAACAAGCCCGGAGCTTTATTGAGATCGATTTCTAGAAAAAATATTTGAGAAGATGACATGTCAGAATATTCTTTATATTAGAGACAATATCACACCTTTCAAATATCTCACATTTCAAGGGATCTCACTCATTTTAGTCTGAGATTTACCTATGTTTCTCTCAATTGTAGAGTCTCCTCACTTCTATTGTTGAAATAAGAAATATATATTTATTAAAGGAACAAATCTGAAATCATTCCGGCATGAATAATTTTGTGTGTCCCTCATTTGAGTCTTTCCGGATTGAAAGGCAAGGACCGCATCTTTCCTGAATTGTTGTTTTTTATTAATGTATATCCGTTTCGTGCTTTGAAGAAGAAGAAGAAATAAGTAACACCCTCACTCCCACAAAACTAAAGAATAGTTCATGAATTGCATCAAATTCTAAAGTATCCCAGTGAAAGTGTTTAAAAAAAAAATTGCATTGCCATTTTCTGTTAACTGTGTTTCAGTTTTCCTCAGGGTAAGGTGGTTCAGAATTTGCATAGGCTATGTCTGCACTACCACTTATATCAGTATAACTTATGTTGCTCAGGGCTGTGAAAAGCCACCTACCTGAGCGACATAAATTATGCCAACCTAAGCATCAGCGTAGACAGCACGAGAGCTTCTACCGATGACATAGCTACTGCCACTCGTTGCGGGTGGATTAATTAAGCAGTGGTTAGTTAAACAGTGGTTCTCAACCAGTGGTACTCGTATCCTTGGGGGTACGCAGAGGGCTTCCAGGGGGTACATCAACTCATCTAGATATTTGCTTACTTTTATAACAGGCTACATACAAAGCATTAGTAGAGAAGTCAGTACAAACTAAAATTTCATACAATGATTTTATACTGCTCTATATACTATACACTGAAATGGAAGTACAATATTTATATTCCAGTTGATTTATTTTATAATTATATGGCAAAAATGAGAAAGCTAGCGATTTTCAGTGATAGTGTGGCTGTGACACTTCTGTATATTTATGTCTGATTTTGTAAGCAAGTACTTCTCAAGTGAGGTGAAAGTTGGGGTTACGCAAGACAACTCAGTCTCCTGAAAGGGGTACAGTAGTCTGGAAAGGTTGAGAGCCACTCCACTAGAGAGCGTACAGTGGCACAGCTGCATGGGTGCAGCTGCGCCACTGTAAGCTCTCTTGTGTAGCCAGAGTCCCATTTACTAAATAGTCATTTTATTAAAAAGATCAGGGTGTCTGCACACCCTACAAGTTATAGGAAACCGATTAAGATTCTGAAACCCTGGAATTACTTAAAAATAATATAAATTTATCAGTGATTCAGCATTTTTAAAAAATTACTGCTGAACATGTACATTTATGTTTTTCATTTTTGTTCATGGCGAATGCCACACCGATGACCTTTTCCATGTGACTGAATTTGAACGACTTCAGCTTTGAGCAACCGAAACAGTTGTATCTTTTAAGGATGGTACGAGTAGGAAATGAGTGACATTCTCACTGTATGCCCAGGCAAATGTATACAATGGGTCTTTCTAGCACATCTATAGTCTTTTGGGACTATTCAAAGTTTTCTTGCAGGGTCGGTGTGGCTGGACATCATCCTCAACTTTTACTTACGTGCTCCACTCTCAGAATTTACCTGCTTCTATCTGAAGACAATCTTTAGGTTTAGATTTAAAGCCTGCTCACTTTACTAATATTCAACAAGAAGCAATATGTATTTATAAACATATAAGAGATGTTCAGAAGAAACCCAACATATTTGGTGTGCATACATGCATGTTTTCAGATGAGTTTCCATCAAAACTATTGGGAAGTGCATGAGGATATATTACAGCAGTATACAGCATTAGGAAGCTTTTATTGTTGCTAATAGTAGGTAGTTTGATTATATACCAAACGTGTGATATTTGACTTGCATCTTCATTTAATTCCCAAAGCACAGAATGTTGCCATAGCTGGACACGTTTACTGCTAGGAGGATGAGCATGCTAATGGGGTCCTTGAACTGCTGGAATACAGTTGTCATATGCAATGTATGCAGGGGTCACTCCAGCTGCTGTACAACAAATATTTTGGAGTGTGTGTTATACAACAAGAAGTGTAAAAACCATAGTTATTGTTTCTCTTTGAGAGATCTGTAAACCTCTGTTTTTTGTTCAGAAATCCTGTAGCTTGAAAAGTTATGAATGCTGTGATTGTTTATATATGTAAAATTATGGTTACAATGTGATTAGTCCTTGATATCTGCTCATTGGAATCCAAATTGGATTTTTTGTTATGTTTCTCTAGACTCGTTCCTCTGCAAGGACCAAATTAGACTAGCGTGTTTCTATGGGTCTATTTGGCCCCAAGAGCATTTGATCCCTGAGTCTTCGTGTATCTTCCTTCAGCAAATCTTTGCCCTAGAGCCATTTAAGCAACTAACATAAATGAATCGAATAATTCCAGCTGTGCTTTATTAATTTTCAGGCATTCTAATTGCTCTTCATAGTTGGTTTCATTCATCTACATTTGTTTAACCAGTATATTCTTTGTGAACATTACATTTCTTTGAAGATTGATTTATGTACCTAGGGCTTGATCCTGAAAGGTGCTGAGTGCTCTGATCCCAATCCAGCAAAGCCCTTAAGCACGTAAGGAGTAAAGAAGAAAATGATTTTTAAATATTTTGTTTTAAAATGTATTTATGCAAATTGTAGTCTAGATATTCAAATTGTTGCATATCTGTCACCTGCTTAAAATAAGTAATTAGACATGAGTCTGTTTTCATTCATCTGTTAAAGGATCTTGGCTCAAAATGTGTAAATAAAGGAAGTACCGGTCTAAGCAAGGAGTAGATCAGTGACATGGAAAAATGGGTGGGTACCAGAAAATACCGTGATCCTGCAAAGTTGAAATCAGTGGGTTCCTGTTCTTAAAATTAACTGTGTGCTCAAGTGCTTTGTTGGATAGGAGCCAGAGTACTAAGCACCTTGCTGACAAAATCTCAAAAATAAAATATTCCTGAGAGTTCAGTGACTGCCCCCAACCATAGATCCTTTTATTGAAGTGGTATCTCAAAACAGTTTTGCTTATTATAGATCATGTATTATATGGGTTTCAGACCCTAAATACAGGAACTGCAAAACAGGTTTGTTTGTTTGTTTAAGCAGTAGATGAGTTTGGAAAGATTTAGTGAGTGAGGTGCATGAAGACTGATTGATGTCTTCCAGTAATACACAGCTACTGTACACTGTTACTTTCATTTTGAAATGGTTGCAGGGTCATTTTTACTATTGTCTCTATGAAAGAGAAATATTGCGTATGCTCCCACTTCTTTTTCGTAGATGAGAGAGCAGGCCTGGCTTTTCTCAGAGCTTATAGGATCGCTCTATGTTTTCACATTTACTCTGTAAGCCCGCAATCATCACAGCCAAAGGAGCTCATCAGTGTTACTCCAGACATGAGGAGAGGGGTTGCTACTGAGTAACTGATTTTCATTGCCTCACTTGTCACCTGTTCTTGGCAATTGAAGCAAATACAAGAGATCTCTCAAATACCTCATTTAAAAAAAACAAAAACAAAAAACCAAACACTACAACCCCCCTCTCCACTCTTCCCTCTCCCATCCCCCAAAAGAAAAAACATATCGGTGAGTTTTGCTGAAGAATGCAGTATTGTGTTTCAGGCTTACTTCTTTTTTTAAAACTCTTAATCTCTGTTGTGTGTCATTCTCTGTGTTGTCCCTCATTATTTCCCTACCTCCAATTGTGCAAGCAGAGTGGCGGTTCAGCAATTCCTCTTCCTCCACTGCAGTCCTAGCTCTGAAACCTGATTTTATGACTGAATAAAACAAAAGTTTTCTCTACTTCTCTTCATTGAGAGACAAAAACTTCCAGGGCTTTGCTTCCTGTACCAGGCCACCCACTAAGTTCTTTCCCTCCCTGTGCTTCCCCTTCCCAGTCATGGAGGAGCAGGCTAGGGTTGGGTATTTGACCAGTTCAAAAATAATTGGTCAATTGACCAGTCAAATATTGTCAAATGTTTTAAAGCACTAATTTATAAGAACAGTAACAAAAAAGAGTAAGACTTTATGGTCTCGTATAGGCTTACCCTTAGATACTTATACCTAATTACAAAAAACCGGAGTTATTTTCATTCAGAAAAATGCAAAACACCATTAAATGATTTTCTCAAATATGAGAGTAATTATTTTTAGGTTGGCCTTTAAATATGGACATTATTCATAAAATGAATGAAATTAAAAATAAAACATACATAGCATCCATAAAACCAAAAAATCATTTTAAAAATCACTTATGCTAGATAGGCAGCAGGCCAACTCTACAAGCCGTTTTATGGCTGTGCATCTTTATTGTTTATGTTGGGGGTGGAATTTTAATGACTGTGAGCCCTCCTCTCCCTCTCCCACTCCCTTCTGAGTTTATTTTTGTATGATTGTCTAGTCAGTTTAGGTTGTAAGCTTTTCAGTGCCAGCCATGACTGTGTCTTTTAAGTTGTTTTAATATGCTTTGTAAATGGCATGGCATAGAAATAAAGATATACATACATACAATGTATGTTCTAGAAGATTCCAGCCAATCAACATGCTCAACTTTCAATTAATTGACCTTTTTCCCAACAGGTGGTGTTATCATGCAGTTAAAGTGAGTGATAAAGATATTTCAGTAGGTTTGCTAACAGGTGGCACCATGATGCAATCAAAAAGGCGGTTCTCTTGCCTACATCATGACATTCTTGCTGGAATATTTAACAATATTTGACCATG